GATGTTATACTCATCAAGAGCTTTTATTTGAGTACCCACATGGATTTTTATATATTTTTCATATATACATATATATAATATATATAAATATATGAATAAATTGATGTGGGTACTCAAATGAAAGGTTTTGATGAGCGTAGTATCGGGATGAGCTTATATCTTTAAAAATGTCAATAGTTAAGAAAGTACAGTGCTATTTAACTAAATTCATTATTTCATAAAGCAATATTTTAATTTTTTGACCTTGTGTCTTGTAAACTATTGAGATTTTTAAAGATATAAGCTCACCCCGATATAACACTCATTGATACCTTTCGTTTGAGTACCCACATCAATTTTTCATATATTTTATATATTTATATATTCCACAAATATCATATATATAAAATATATAAAAATTGCCATGTGGGTACTCAAATGAAAGGTCTCGATGAGTGTAACATCGGGATGAGCTTATATCTTTAAAAATGTCAATAGTTAAGAAAGTACAGTGCAATTTAACAAAAGTCATTTTTTAATAAAGCAAAATTTTATTTATTTAAGTAAAAAAAAAAAATGAGGCATGCAAAAATTCAATAAAATAACACGACTTTGTATCTATAATTGGATTTTTCAATAATTGGTGCTTTTTTAAAAGTTTATTAATGACATCTTACATCAACAGATTCAACTCATAAAATGAATGTTTATTCTCGACATTAATTTGACGTGTTGATGCAAGCAATAAGTTCACTAGCGACTGACGACATCAGTTTATCTTGATATTTTTACCTGCGATGAATAATTTATTTTATTCACTTTTTCATCCTTATTAAATGAATTTCATTTTTTTTTATCAATAAATCGACTTATTAAAAAAAAAAAAAAAAAAAAACAATAATAATTCTTACATCTGAATAAATTTTCTTTTTCTTTTCATGTAAGAACAATTATAATTACACTATTAATTTAATTTAAATCATAACAATATTATTTTATCTTTCAGATACATTTGTACAAAAGCTCGAGCAACATTTCTCTGCTTTCTGGCGTGGGTTTTTGCAGCCGTCTGTACTAGGTAAGAATATAATTTTAAATTTACAAGTTTAAAGAAAGTTACCAATCTCCCCATATAATAAATTAACCGCTAGTTAAATGCACTTCCTTGTGATAATTATTTATTCACTACACGGCGTGTGGTGAATAATTCTAACCAGTAGCCATAAATATATATAAAAACAACTAGAAAAAAAAAAATGGGTATAATAAAGATATCAAGACGAAGGTTGATATTGCGTCATTTTACTCTATTGTTATTTTTCTCCGTTACAGTTATGTCATACTCATAGTATTCATATAGCGAACATTCTTCGCGGTTTTATTAAATTATTCTTTATGTTCTATCTATTGGTCGTATTAATTATCTTCTTCGATATTGCAAAACATCAAGTAGTTCAAAGTTTGTGAAAAAGATACTTCTAACGGGTATATTAAAATGAAATAGGTGCTTTGTGACAATAAATTTGATATTAAAAAGTGGAATACTGTTTCTGTCAAAAAGCAATTTGTTAAGGAGGTTCGAGCGAATCTAATGTGAAAAATAATTTCAAACTTTGAGCTTTGAAATTAAGTATACGTATAAATAAATACGTAATTTATCTAATCGAAAAATTTGAAAAAGATTCACCGTTTAGTTACTTAGATAGGGGAGTGTGGGGTCCCCCCGGTCACCTAAGAAGTGAATTTAAAAAAATATTAAAATTATCATTTTGGAATAATAAAAAAGACTTTATTCAATTCTTTGACATCTGAAGAACTAAATGCAATTACTAAAAAATATAAGTATGAAGATAAATAAAAATATTTGAGGAATTATAGAAATAATGAGTTTGACCGGAGCGACCCAACGTGTTGGATCACCCCGGTCATTAGGCAGGTCGCTCCGGTCAGTATTAATTTTATTTTAAAAATTAGAAATTCTGAATTATATTGTTAAAATTTAATAAAAATTTAAAATTAATTTTTTTATTGAAACTTTGGCAGCAAATAACATTAAATATTGGTAATTTTTAACATTTAAACTTTCTGTTTTTTAACTAATTTGCGTTTTTTTAGGCCATACTTGATATTTATCCGTCGCACGAGTGGAAGTTATTCGTTTCCTTGAATTCTTTCTAGGTTCTTCTGCTGACTTACTTGTTTGGAGTTCTTCATTAACATTATCGGACAATTTAACTGGCTTCTTTTGTGATTTTTTTTTTAATTAATTACAAAATAGTGGTTAGTTTTAAATAAACACACGAGCTGTCAAACAATAAACAATTGAACAAACTGACCGGTGTTACCCCACAGCTTTGACCGGTATGACCCCAACTTATAGTTGAGAAAATAAACTTTATTCAAAAGAAAATGATTAATAATTACAGTATAATAAAAATTCCCACTTATAAAGGAAGATTTATCGATTATACACATAAAAATTATAAATTTTTATCTTGCTGTAAACTATATTAAAAGCCTTACGGAAATGATTCCGATTCTTAGACCAAATGGGAATCAATTTTTTAATTTTTAATTATTACTAATAAATACTATATTTCTAAGTTTTGAATCTATTTTTTACTCTCAGCTGAATAAGCGTACAAAATAAAACAAAATTCAAAATTTAAGGTATAGTAGATTTTTTTAAATGTTGGTGACCGGGGCGACCCCAAGCTCCCCTATTAAATTTCAAAAATCACATTTTTTATCTCCTTATACACGGGCTCTTATGGCGGACAAACGTTTAGTCGAGACTTTAATTATTTTTTTCAATATTAACCTCCCAACTTATAACGAATAAAAAACTATACACGCAAAACTTGGATTATTGTAAAATATAAAAAAAAATTTAATAATAATACATTACCGATATAATTTGTTGAAATATTTAAAGTTTAATTTGATGTTTTTGACTGGTTTATCGTCAGCTATTTATTCGAATAAAGATTTGGCAACGTCGCGTCAACAGCTGAGAAAAAACAAAAGGATAGAAATATATTAGTTACAGAGAGAGAAATATTTAAGTGACACACTCATCCACGTCTCTGTAATGAGTATAATCAAACGCGCTGTTGCCAAATCTGTTTATTTAATCCGGCAATTGATAAATACGATCATTTTATTACTTTATTTTATTGAATAAGTAAATAACATCAATTATATCAACAAATTCTTCTATCAGAGCGAATATCATATGTATATAATATATATGAAAAAATCATGTGCGTACTCAAATGAAAGGTCTTGATGAGCGTAACAACAGGATGAGCTTATATGATTAAGAATGTCAATATTTCACGAAAGGACATTGTATTCTGTCTACTGATGATATTTTTAACGATATAAGCTCATTTTAATAATATACTAATCGAGCCCTTTCATTTGAATACCCACATGAATTTTTTGATATATTTTATATATTATATATATGACAAATATCATATATATAAAATATATAAAAAAAATGCTTGTGGGTACTCAAATGAAAGCTCTTGATGAGTGTGACATCGGGATGAGCTTATATCTTTAAAATCGTCAATATTTAAGAAATATTTCATATATTTCACAAATATCATATATATAAAATATGTAAAAATTGCCATGTGCCTACTCAAATAAAAGGTCTTTATAAGAGTAACTTCAAGATGAGCTTATATCTTTAAGAATGTCAATGATTAAAATTAAGTATTTGGCTGCATTCGAAAATGCTCTATCTCTAGATACCTAATTAAGAAATGACCTTGTATCTTGTGAACTATTGACATTTTTTAAGATAATAAATATATGAAAAAATCATGTGGGTACTCAAATGAAAGGTCTTGATGAGTGTAACATCAGGATGAGCTTATATCTTTGAAATTGTCAATAATTTAAGAAATTCTTTTAATCTAAAAATCTTGATCAAATATAAAAATTTATTGTATCGAGTATTTATGATAATTTTTCTTGAGCCAAGAATTTTCTCCTCCAATCAAGAAATTTTTCTTTCTGTGTTTCTATATAGGTGAAAAAAATAAAAAATTTTAATTTGATGAAATTAAACTTTAACATTAGTTTTTACATCAATTCATCTATATATATTTCCTCAATTACTTCAGTGTTATTTTAATTGAATAGGAAATCCACTTCCATTTTCTTCCGTAAAATCTCGATAGCAAAATACTCTATTAACGTAATATAACTCATTGACTAATCCACGCCCCTATAATCAATTACACCCATTATATTACCTGTCAACGAACCAGTTTATTTTATTGGAGATTTTAGTTAAAAGGGGTAGAGTAATCGTAATAAATAAAAAAATCAAATCGATTGCAGGTATTGTCTGTGAGTAGAGGGTTTTGACTCCATATTGATGACAAAAGCTGTTTCCCAGTGTAGACAATAAAAATACAGTAAAGAATAGCAGCGGAGTGGGAGGCAGGAAAGGAAAAAAAGGAAGTGGTGTGAGGAGGTGACAGTAATAGGGGTTGCTAGAAAAGACACCGGAAAAAAACTAAATAAAAGTAAAGTGGAATAAACGAAGAGGGTGGAAAACAAGAAGAAGATTGTGGCAATCTTGAGCCATCTGTTTCTCGTCAACCTAAAATACTTTTTCGGTTACCCGCAAAATATATAATAAATTTTATACAATTTTTGCTTTATAAATTTTCTCTACCTGAGAAGCCTTTAATTGAAATAGCTTCGGATAATAAAATACAACTTCTAATAAATAGAGTTTCTAACAGATGAATCCTTATTAGTTATATCAGAAAGTTGTTTCAATTAAATGTTCATTTGAATTCAGAAACTGCAAATGCAGGAAATTATTTAGCTTTTCAAAGTTCTAAAACAAAAAAAATTTAAACGGAACAAAAGATGCTTTATGTTTATTATTTTTTTTTTTTGCTACTGTTTGTTATTATTTTTTCTGAATGGAAAGTAATTGCTGGAAATAAACTAAAAGACAATATAATTTGTTGTTTTTTTAAACACCAAGCTGTTTTTTTCATTGAAATTCAAGCCGTGTTTCTTTCATGAGTACGGGTTCACGAACTTTTAAAATGTCTCTATTAGTTTTTATGGCGTTTATTTTCTGTGTTTTTCCAATATCGCGCGGGATACATCAAACATCTAGGGCTTTTGTCGAACAACAGAACGTGTAAATAATGCGAATGTAAAAAAGAAAACTCATTGTTGTCTTTGAAGGTTATATTTGTGAAAAATTTTGTCTAAAAATGAAACTCATCCTAAGGTTGCACTCATCGAGACCTTTCATTTGAGTACACACATTATTTTTTCATATATTTTATATATATATGATATTTGTGGAATATATAAAATATATAAAAAATTCATGTGGGTATTCAAATGAAAGGTCTCCATAAGTATAACTTCAGGATGAGCTTATATCGTTAAAAATATCATTAGTTGACAAAATACAATGTAATTTTTTATATTATTGACATTTTTAAAGATATAAGCTCATCCTGATGTTACATTTATCGAGACCTTTCATTTGAGTACCCACATGCATTTTTTTTATATATTTTATATATATGATATTTGTGATATATATAACATATAAAATATATGAAAAATTCATGTGGGTATTCAAATGAAAGGTCTCAATGAGTATAACGCCAGAATGAGCTTATATCGTTAAAAATATCATCGGTAAAGAAACTACAATGTTTTTTCTTAAATCATTGATATATTTAAAGATATAAGCTCATCCTGATGTTGTGCTGATCGAGACCTTTCATTTGAGTACCCACATCAATTTTTTTCATATATTTGATATATATGACATTTCTCATATTTGTGAAATATATAAAATATATGAAAAATTCATGTGGGTATTCAAATGAAAGGGCTTCAGAAGTTTATTATCAGAATGAGCTTATATCGTTAAAAATATCATCGGTAAAGAAACTACAATGTTTTTTCTTAAATCATTGATATATTTAAAGATATAAGCTCATCCTGATGTTGTGCTGATCGAGACCTTTCATTTGAGTACCCACATGCATTTTTTTTATATATTTTATATATATGATATTTGTGATATATATAACATATAAAATATATGAAAAATTCATGTGGGTATTCAAATGAAAGGTCTCCATAAGTATAACTTCAGGATGAGCTTATATCGTTAAAAATATCATCGGTAAAGAAACTACAATGTTTTTTCTTAAATCATTGATATATTTAAAGATATAAGCTCATCTTGATGTTACTCTTATCAAGACCTTTTATTTGAGTACGCACATGATTTTTTCATATATTTTATATATATATATATATATATATATATATGATATTTGTGAAATATATAAAATATATGAAAAATTCATGTGGGTATTCAAATGAAAGGTCTTCATGAATACAACGTCAGGATGAGCTTATACCGCTAAAAAATATCATCAGTGGACCAAGTACAATGTAATTGTCTTTTTTGAATATTCAATATTTGTATTCTGACAAAAAAATTAGTATAAAATATACGTTTAACCTCGTGAAAATTTTAAATTGACACCTCCTAAATTTAACACGATCTTTGATGTAATTTTAACACCAAAATTTTAACACCGAGTCATTCACATTATACGACCACTCAAATCCGACTGTTACAAGTTGCCGCGACTCTTTGCGCGTAAAAAAACTAGTATAAATATTCCATTTGAATTTACATCCTATCAATCAAATTATTGTCAATCCACAGTAAACATTCATCCCTGGCATAAACTTTTCTCTGTGATGTAAAGCCCGAAAAAATTCAAATAACTTTTAGTAATAATAATAAAGTAATGACTTTGTTTGCGTTGATACTGCAAATGGATCAAAGTATTTTAAAAATTGGGTTAATGTCCTCCGTGTTTTATGGGATAAAAGTGAAAGCATTTTTTTTTTTTTGACGATTCGCGATCAAGCGGATTTATCTCCTTATGCTAACCAGACGATCATAAATTCTAAATAAACCACTTACGTGATTTAACATCTGTTATCTTCTCATAAACTTTTCGAATTATTTATTATTTATTCATTTATTTATTCACCATTTAATACTTCCGCTTTTAGTATCTATAATAAATAACTAACTTTTATCTCGCGTGAAAATATTTTTCCCCAGATTTATTATTCATTTATCTTTGTTTTAAACAAACTTTAATTATTTTTGCACCCTACAAAAAATGCATGAATTTTTATGAAAATAAAGTTAGCTGACATTTCAGAACTTTTAGAAATTTTTTTATCGAAAAAATTTCAATTAAACAATTAAAAAAAAAAAAATATCACATGTTATAAACTTAAAAAACTATAAGCGCAATTTTTTATAAATATTTTTTTAGTTGTAATTTAATTAATAAAAAAAATCCAAAATTTTTAGACGTCTGCTAACTATGAAAATTAAGTTACACGGAAAGAACAAGATGACACTGGATACCATCTCAGATTATACTCAGTGACATCTGAGGTGAAAAAAAAATTTCAGATGGTAACTAGTATAATCCAGATTATACTGAATAATATATGGATTATACTCATTGTAATCTGGATTATACTCATTGTTATCTGGATTATACTAGTTACTATCTGAATTTTTTTTCACTCAGTATAATCTGGGATTATATCCAGTATAATCTTGTTCTTTCCGTGTAGCCGACATCTAAAAAGTTTTAGAATTTTTTTTATTGAAAAAATGATTAGAAAAAAATAAAAAAAAAAATTGTCACTTGTCAAAAACTTTAAAAACTGTAAGTGCAATTTTTTAAAAATATTTTATTCTTGTAATTTAATTGAAAAAAAATAAATCAAAAAATTAAAAATGTCGGCTAACTTTATTATTATCTGCTAACTTTGATGTCATGATTTTTTAAAATTAAAAATCCGCTTTTCAAATAAATTATTCAATTGGTTGCAGTTTTAAAATTAACTTTAATAAATAATTATTATTTATAATTTTAGTTAAAATTTTTTGTTAAAAAAAAAACAACCTAGATCATTGAACTGCAGCCAATAGAGCTCTATAAAAAAATCAAAATAATATCCTAAAAATTGATTATTTAATTTTTTGTTTTTGGATTGCAGTCCAATGATTTGGGTATCGCAGTATCATGAAATGAGGATGAACACGACGGTAAACAGTGAAGAAGAAAAGAGCGAAGCTGTTATAACAGTTTGTTTAATGCAAGCAGATTCATTGCTGACGATGACATTTTTTTTATTATTAATAATTATATTCTTTGTAATACCATTATTTATTCTGTTGCTACTGTATTTAATAATAATACGGCAGTTGATAAATGACCGCTCGGCGTCAACAGCGGAAAATTACCATGCGCGCGCACGCAAACAAGTGGTGCTCATGCTGCTTGCAGTGGTGTTTAGTTTCTTTATTTGTCTAGCGCCATTTAAAATTCTCACTTTTTACATCGTTTTGGCGCCCAATGAGTCCGTCGAAGCTATAGATCACGACACCTTTTACAACATATTGTATTTCAGCCGAATTATGTTTTACTTAAACAGCGCGGTTAATCCGATTCTCTATAACTTGATGAGCAGCAGATTTAGGTTAGGATTTAGAAAAATTTTTCGGGTGATTAAGCGCACCAGAACTGACCGAAGCACTGTCAGAAGTTCTACCACTGGAACAAGACTGTCGCGTAGAACTATTACCAGTAGTGATCAGCAGGAAATTTTTTTATGATTCTTATTTTTAGTGTAGTTTGCGTTATTAATGTATTTTATGAAAAAGACTGGTTCAAATAAATGGTATATAAACATACATATTTGTTATTTTAGAACACTAGAATTGAATTTGCGCGCGCCTCATATTTATTGTCATGATATATTTATGTGTTGTTTATGTATAGTATATTCACTTTCAACCAATCAGAATGAGAATATTTATTTTCGACCAATCACATCACGAATAAATTGGTTTCACATACATTTCATCTCAATTTTATTATGGGAGTAGAATTTGAATTTACGCGCGCAAGCGCGCGCCTTGACTATAGAGTTTGCATATATTTTCATGCTTATGATATATTCGACCAATCACGTTACGAATAGTTTGATGCCACATAAATTTCATCTCAATTTTATGTTAGGATTCTGAAAACAACAGAAATTAAGTTAGCCGACGTCTAAAAATTTATAGAAGTTTTTTTATTGAAAAAATGATTACAAAAAAATAAAAAAAAAATTTTTCACTTGTCAAAAACTTTAAAAACTGTAAGTGCAATTTTTTAAAAATATTTTATTGTTCTAATTTAATTTAAAAAAATAAATCAAAAAATTAAAAATGTCGGCTAACTTTATTATTATAAATTAAGGAGATTTGAGCGAATCTAATGTGAAAAATAATTTCAAACTTTGAGCTTTGAAATTAAGTATACGGATAAATAAATACGTAATTTATCTAATCGAAAAATTTGAAAAAAATTCACCGTTTAGTTACTTAGATATTAAATTTCAAAAATCATATTTTTTATCTCCTTATACACGGGCTCTTATGGCGGACATACGTTTAGTCGAGACTTTAATTATTTTTTTCAATATTAACCTCCCAACTTTAACGAATAAAAAACTATACACGCAAAACTTGGATTATTGTAAAATATAAAAAAAATTTAATAATAATACATTACCGATATAATTTGTTGAAATATTTAAAGTTTAATTTAATGTTTTTGACTGGTTTATCGTCAGCTATTTATTCGAATAAAGATTTGGCAACGTCGCGTCAACAGCTGAGAAAAAACAAAAGGATAGAAATATATTAGTTACAGAGAGAGAAATATTTAAGTGACACACTCATCCACGTCTCTGTAATGGGTATAATCAAACGCGCTGTTGCCAAATCTGTTTATTTAATCCGGCAATTAATAAATACCAAAGTCATTTTATTACTTTATTTTATTAAATAAGTCAAAATCATCAATTATTAAATTGTTTAAATTATTTTAAATTAAAATAAAGAATTTTGACGAATATTGGGAAGACTGAAATTAAAAAAAAATTTTAACACTATTTTGACTCATTAGTTACGCTCGAACCTCCTTAAATAAATTTATATTGTTTAAAATAAAAGAGTGTCTCATTATTGCACGCCTCATAAGCGAAGCATTGATTATTAGATAAATCTTCTGTTCAATTCTTGATCTTTTTTCCATTGCAATTACGATGAGTTTTAAATTCTAACAAGTTATCGATAACAGCGTATTTTCTTTCTCCGATTTACTTATTTTTTATTATTGTCGTTGGTATTTAAAATAAATTTATCGTACGTCTTCTTGAAATCTCATGTTTTCCGGAACTCGTATAAAATTTCTTCTAAATTATTTTCTCCTTAAGAAAAAATAATAATAATTTCAATAATAATACACAAAGCGGAAGGAAAAAAAATTCTTCTTTTTCATCAAATATGTTTCCCTCTTCTTAGTTGATTGATAAATACTGACTTTATTCGTCCCTGCAGAGTGAAGGAATCACGTTCGCTCGGATGATTGTAGAAATGAGTATATCCCTCGAGGAAAATATAAAATAAATATCTTCCTATTTTCTGCATTACATCACACTCAAGCCCTTTTCAGTTCACTTTCTTTTCCTGCTTTATCAAATACAACCGATCATCTATAGATTCCCTTGATAGTGCCACCTCATAGATAAAGTACATAATTCTGCTAACATTAAGGAGTTATGAGTAGTCAGGATTAAAAAAAAACTATAAATTAACTATAAATAAATAAAATTTCAATTTATTAAATAATGACTTTTGTTAAATTGCACTGTACTTTTTTAACTATTGACGTTTTTAAAGATATAAGCTCATTCCGATGTTATGCTCATCAAGAGCTTTCATTTGAGTACCCACATGGCAATTTTTATATATTTTATATATATATATATATATATATATATACATATATAATTAATATGACTGTTCAATTCACTGTCGTTTAATTATTATTTATAAAAAACTAAGATACCACTGTGTATTTGTATATCTATACATACATTTTATTATCGTATTTTTTTTTCTCACCTTAGAATTATTGCGCCACTAAACCATAGCAGAGTTTTCAGTTTTTTGTATTTTATTTTAATAAATTTTATTGCGAAAAATAAGACTATGAGGCGTGCACTTTTAGATTTCCCAATCTTATCCTTTTTTATAATTAAAAATCATCAATCTCAAATTCTATACTTAACTTATTAATACAATATTTTATTTTTCAGTCCGATATTAACAATGACAGTATACTCAATGGAAAAAGACGACGACGGAAGTGAACTACCAGCATGTTCAACATCTGTAAAATCAATATGGCCAATGATATTTTTCTTAACAACAATAATAATATTTTTTATAATTCCACTAGTGATACTGGTAGTGCTATACACAGTGATAGCGAGACATTTGATGAGGAACCCAGCGATAACGCGAGGGCCAGCTAATAATTTGCTTAAGTACAGGAAGCAAGTGGTACTGATGCTGGGAACAGTTGTAATTAGTTTTTTCATTTGCTTATTGCCCTTTCGCGCGTTTACACTCTGGGTAATAGTGTCGCCGCTGACAGCAATAATAAATCTCGGCGTCGATGGGTACTTTATATTACTGTACATAAGCCGCGTAATGCTCTATCTTAATTCAGCGATAAATCCAATTTTGTATAATTTGATGTCGACGAAATTTCGCGAAGGATTTCTAAGATTGTGCGGACTGTCGCGCAAACAGAGCAAAGACATTCCAACATCTGGACGCACTGGCACAACCACTAGCAGTAATCACTCGGATTTCTGGCGCAGACAGAGCAACTCTAGCAAAAGCTGCAGTGTTAAGGTCTCCAGTGCCAGCACTGATAATAATAAGCCTTTTAGTTTGACAATTATTACCAACGCTAATAATGCGAACAAGAATGATAAAGTTAGCTTTGTTTAAATAAGATAATATTATTTCCAGTTGCGTTAAAATTGTCTTACTTGGATAATTATTCAATCTCAAGTTAAATTTTGTCGCTATAAAATCTGAAAATCTCATTTTAAAAAATCAATTTGGAATAAATTTTGTTTCTGTCAATGAAAAGTTACAAAGTAATGTATAGGATAACAAATTATCGGAAAAAGTATCCACAAAACTAATTTACAAATCAATAATACTGCTGTAAAGCTTTAAAAGACCTTAAATCGTCGATATATTTTTCATATATAATATATATTTTGAAGATATAAGCTCATACTGATGTTACACTCATCAAGAGCTTTCATTTGAGTACCTACATGCATTTTTGATATATTTTTCATAAATACATATATGTAATATATATATATAAATATATAAAATATATGAAAAATTGATGTGGGTATTCAAATAAAAGGTCTCAATGAGTGTAATGTCCGAGTGAGCTTATATCTTTAAAAATGTCAATAGTTTACAAGATACAAGGTCATTTCTTAATTATGTATCAAGAGTAACTAATCTTGTAAAGAATAGTTGAAAAGTATTAAACTTTTCTGAACCTGAAAAAATATCTACTCAAATTTTTTGTTAAAATTGTCTTACTTGCACAACTATTCAATCTCACGTTAAATGTTGTCACTATAAAATCAGAAAATCCAATTTTGGGAAATCAACAATACCATCAATTTGGAATAAATTTTGTTTCTGTCAATGAAAATTTACAAAGTAATGTATATGATAACAAATTTTCGGAAAAAGTATCCACAAAACTAATTTACAAATCAATAATACTGCTGTAAAGCTTTAAAAGACCTTAAAGCGCCTGACTCAACTCTTCTGGAGCGAGAAAGTTCAGCTATTGTGCGCCCTCTGTTGGGAATTCCAAGTACTAAGTTTTATTACAGCTGCGCAAGTATTGAAATTTCGTGTGGAAAATCTTTTTAATGATAAGAACATAATTGAACTCGTTAATTGTTAATCTGATTAAGGGGTTATACCTAGTAAGAATTTTCAAAAAATCAATTTTGGATTTTCGGAGTGTTAATATACTTGAGTATGATCTCTGAAAATTTCAAATTGATCCGGCAAATATTCTTGAAGACAAATGCATATTCGTAAGGACGTCTCCGAGCGTTCGAAAGTAGGCGGAGCGTATAAAAACGCGTTTTTCTCAAAACAGTATTTTCAAAGTCGGTGAGCACGATTTCTCCAAAACGGCTTGACCGATCGGTTTCAAATTTTTACACAACCTTCTTAGACCTATTCCCCGGGTATTAATCGAAGGAATAAGACTTCTGACAATTATTTCGATTTTTTAGACCACTTGAAGTTGGAAATTTTTTCGAAAATGCCAACTTTTCTTTGGGAACCCGCCAATTTGTCAAAAATAAAAATTTTGACTATTCCTTCGATCAATACCTGCATTCACCTATCCACTAAATAAATTTTTCGGAATTTTCCATTTGGTATAATCCAAAGCAGAGATATCTTGCTCACCTGATACTTTTTTGCGGAGAACCTCCGGGAGATCGTCTACTGGAAAAGTACAACATAATATTTTTAAAATAAAATATCTCTTAAGAAGAAATTCGTTTTTTGGGCTGTCATTAGCTACCAGTACCACCAAAAAAGCACAGTTTATCTAGCAATGTATCTTTTTGTTTTGTCCAGCACTCGGTCATTGACTAATCATTAATTTAGCGTATTTAGGTTCACTTAACAAAGGGTAAAAAGCTCCTAGATTGCGCCCTCTAAGGAGAAAGGTCTTGCAGCTTTTCTATCCGACTATTTTTTCGGTTCACAACCAACCAGAGATTTATGACGTCCCATTTTGACCGAGTGATTTATATCGTAGGTATTTTCATCTCTATTCCCTTCTTCCGTGGTCTTATTTTATGAACCGTAGGCACATACGCCAGATCTCTCTCATGTCTTCTTCACTTTATTAAGTATATAAGACTAAAACAGATATTATTTTATTCTCTAAAGATAGTCCGCGATTTTAAGAGTCTATCGGGATTTATTCTACTTACCTATCCGAATGATTTTCCTCGCTACTTTATGTTTATCCGATCGCTTGTTCGGGTACTAACTTATTGGCTATTAACTTCACGCAACTGGAAATAATTTTTATTTGAAATAAATCACAAGTCGGAAAAATTATACGCTTTGATTCAAATAAAGTTATATAACTTTAGGTCTTTTTAAAAGATTTTAATTGTAAAAATTTTGTACTTGTAAAACACGGACTGATAAAGAAAATATCTTGATTCAAGAAAAAAATTCTTGCTCCTAGAAAATTATTTTTAAGAGAACTAGTTGGCTTATTTCAAGAAATTCTTTTTAATTTCAAGTCATTTTTTTTATCAGTGCGTCTTTAAATGTATATATGTGTGAATTAATCGTTATTGTTATTGTAAAAAAAAAAAAAGAGAAAGGGAAAACTTGCAACGCTGATGTGCGAATAGCAAGTGCTCTCTAGTGAGATATTTTTTTTTTTTGACTGCCATGACAACAATAGAAAAAATCTAAACTTATTTCAATTTTGAATAGTTGTGAGATAATCCTTTCGTTAGAATTTTTTTATTGATATTTCACCAGTGGAAGGTTTGATAAAAAAAATAATATTGTTAAATTTTAGAAATGTTTTTTTTTTTTTTTTACTTTTATACTTTTCTACCCTCAGTAGCTAACGTACAATTTGCTTTTAATTATCTGCGTAAATCTAATAAAGAGTAATTGAATAGAGTGGAATGTTAAAACTGATTCCGAGGGGCTGGAATGGAATGATCGGAGGAAAAAGTATTGAAAGAGACACACGGAAAATTACGATGTAAAAAGCTTTGTAAGTTAGTATGCATACCTCTAGACACATAATCAAGAAATTGCCTTGTATCTTGAGAAATATTGACATTTTTAAAGATATAAGCTCATCATGACATTACACTCATCAAGACCTTTCATTTGAGTACCCACATCAATTTTTCATATATATATATATA